GGCCTGGTGTTCTGATCCCCAGCCTCACATGTGCTCTTTCTCCACCAGCATCACAGGGACAAGGCACGGTGCCAGGCAGGGGTAAAAGTCCTCCAAAATCCCAACCCCTACAAAACCTTGCATCTCTGTCACTTTCTCGGGGTTGGGTAGGCTTGTGCCTTATCAGGTACATACAGCTTCTGGGGCACGCATGTCTTACCCAACCAAACTACTCCCGTGGGCTTGGAATTTTCTGTAGATTCACTGCCCCTTCCTCTCCCTGGCAGAGCTTCCTGCAAAGCCTGCAGTGTGTCCTGCAGCAGAGACAAATCTTCACACGTTAACATTTATCACTCATGTAATGATGTGGGGGAGGGGAGCAGGGAGAGGTTTCAGGGGCCATTTCATGATGTACCATGGGCTGTGTGGTAGCTTTGGGGGAGCACTGGAAAATTCCTTTGTTGTCCCTCCCACGTGAAAGCAAATGGATCTTCATTATAAAGAAGAACACTTTCGCAGGGTCAAATAATAACTGTCTATCCTGACAAAAGACTTAAAAATGCCCCTGGTCAAAGACTGGAGGAGAATTCATCACAAAGCAATAGAAATTTTGCAGACAGAACAGCAAAATAAAAAAGAGAATTTTAAAAAGTGAAGATACCTTAAGGGACCTCCGGGCAACATCAAGAGGAATAATATTCACGCTATTGGAATCCAAGGAGGAGAAGAAAGTCAATAGCCAGAAAAATTATTTAAGGAAATAATGGCCCAAAATGTCCATCATCTGGGGAGGGAAATAGACATCCAGGAACAAAAAGCCCAGAGAATTCCAAATAAGAGAACCACAAGAGATCTACACCAAGTCACATTATAACCAAACGGCAAAAAGTTAAAAAGAGAATCTTAAAAGTGGCAAAGAGCAAGGAAAACCCCATAAGATGATCATGGATATTTCACTAGAAACTTCAGAGATGTGAAAAGAGCAGCTCACACTTTGGGCACCACATCCAAGAGCACTAACCCGGGTGACAAGGTTTTCCTCTAGAAGTTTTACTGTTTTAATTGTTCAATGGAGACCTATGATTCACTTTGAGTTAATTTTTATATGGTGTGAAATACTGATCTAAATTGATCTTTTTGCATTGGATATCTTTAGCATTGATATGTTGAAAAGATAATATCCATTTCCTACTGGATTATTTTAGCATCTACTTTGAAAGACCAGTAGACTATAATCGTGTGGGTTTATTTCTGGATTCTCAATTTTGTTCCATTGCTTTGCATGTCCACCCATGTCAGCCCCCTCCGCCTTGATTACAGTAACTTTGTAGTAAGTTTAGAAATCGGGAAATGAAAGTCATCCAACTTTATTCTGCTTTTTCAGAATTGTTTGGGTGATCCTGGGTCGTCCTGCATTTCCATATAAATTTTAGTATCCTTGCTAATTTCTGCAAAAATACCCACTGGGATTTTAACGAGGATTGTGTTGAATCTATAAATCGGTTTGTGGAGCTTTGCTCTTTTAAAAACATTGAGTCTTTCGACCCATGCACATAGACTAACTCAACATCATTGAGATCTTTTAACTTTTCGCTCAGGAATCCCTTTCCTCATGCCATCCCTCTTGCGGCCCCAACATATTGGGGACAAAATGACCTGCTGAGAGTCACAGCCAAGAAGGGTGGGGGTGTCTCTCTGGAGACTCACCACAAAGGCAGGCTATGTTGAGGGGTCATGGAGGGGGGCTGGGTTGATGCATGAGGCTGAGATCGGAAATCCCCTTTATACTCAGCTCTCCTGATTCGGTGGGTCAGTTTCAAGAGCAATGGCTGAACATAAAGTGAAAACTAAGGAATAGTGTCTCCATTCTGAGTATCACAGAGGATATGATTATCCTACTTTCAAGAAGCACCTTAGTTTATATCAGGCTCTGGACCAATGAGGCTATCATTCAAATAGGCATAAGAATCTCTCACAGGCCTCCCTGCTGACGTAAAGGTTAAGTCTCAGCGCTATCACCCCTATGGCCTGAGTTCGATCCCCGGCCAGAGAGCTACCCACATGGTGCAGCAGACCTCGCCTGTCTCGCTCGCTGCTCCCCTCAGCAGTGTATTTCAGCAGATCTGCCTGTTCTGCTCTCCACTCTGTCTCTGGTGAATCCTCTCACCCCCCACACCTCTGGCCTATACCCCAGTTCTTCTATGCAAAAATTAAAAAAAAAAGTCTCAGAGTTTGTAAATATCAGCCTCTCTGGTGGGCTGACCAGGTCCCCAGCCATGATCATCACATGATTGCTGCTAGAGGCATTGAGGGGTGTCTCAGCTGGGTTCCCTCAGAAGTAATATTGAAGACAGGGGTTCAAATACTGGCAGTAGGTTTGGAAGGTGATCCCAAGAAACACTGTCAGTGAACAGGGAACTGAGGCAGGAAAGGGGAGGGAACCATTAAGAGTGTTTAAGGACCAGGTTACTGCTGTGGGTAACTGGGGCTTAATCCCACTGAGGACCTCTGGGAGACAGTGTTGAGCATTCCCCCAAAAAGCCCCAGCTGGGGTGTTTCTTCACTATGACCCCATCTCCATGGGCATAAGTGTCTAGTGTGTCTAGCTGCCCAGCTGGTACCTACAGCAAAAACCAAGGTCTCAGGCAGGGTGGCAGGCATGCATGGGAACTGGTGTATACAGCCTAGGTTGAGGCTCCAACATCTGCTACGGGGCAAATGACAGCGACCTCCAGTTGAATCCCAGCCTCCATCCTGTCCTTCCTTGCACTGGAATCACAGTGTAATTTTGGACAGCGACAGACCCAGCTAGCAGACCACTGTCTAGCCTTCATTGCAGCTAGCAAAGGGGTTGTCCAGAGGAGCTTCTGCAGCACCCTTTGGCCCTTCTTCCTTTTCCCAGCCTAAATTGTACCTGTGATGGCTGCTGAAACCAAGCAGCCACTTGAAACCAGAGGGAAAGATCAAGAGAATCACAGAGGTCTTGGCTCTGATATCATGTGCCCTGAACCAATGTCAGCAGCCACTTGCCTCCAGGCTTCGTATTATACAAGAAGATAAGCTCTTAAGTATTTCAGCCATCATGGCTGGTCTCTATTGTAGTATCTGTGTGTAACTTTCAACCACACAAGGAGGTTGAGTGACTATCAAAAAAGGAAAATGGGCTTATTTGTATACCCAAACTGGTGAAGCATTTATCCTAGGTACATGGAAAATTCTGATAGAGTTTAAATGAACCATGAAGAAGAGGTTGAATGATTTATAAAATAGCCATAAAATAGAATACCCTCTAGATATTAGAAAGGAATGATTGATTTATATATTAATACAGGTACTATAGAAAAAGATGTCCTACATTATTTTAAACCAAAATATATCATAAATTCAGTGAGAAAATAAAATGATGTAGTGGGAGTGTTACGTATGATTTCAGGGTCATAACATTATATAGAGGGCTCTTATACATTGTAATTTTTTTTTAAGTTTTTTTTTTTTTTTTTAAATAACACTGGAACACTGAGCTGCTTTGCAGGAAGTCCCAGAACCCTGACACAGCCATGTTGTGAGGGAGCCAAGCTGCACAGGAAGTCATAGGAAGCTTCTCTGGTCATCTGGCCTTGCCTCTGAATCACGTCCACCCAGGTCCAGACCTGAAGGTGAAAAGGTGTTCAGATGATTCTAGTTCCTGGCTCTTAAGTGACTCCCAACCTTCAATTCTCCCCAGCTGAGGTCACAGACCATTGAAGAGATGGATCATCCCGTCCAAATGCCTGAACTACAGAATCCATGATGATGACGAAATGGTTGTTCTAAACTACTGAAAAAAAATAGTAAAGTATAACTTCCTACCACCCCTTTCCTTCTTTCCGTAACCTAGGGTGTGGGGCTGGTGGTGGAAATGCACACATGGCCAATATCCCAGGGATGGCAGAGCAGCAAGGTGGACAGAGCCTGGATCCCTGGATGACCTGGTGGAGCACCACTCAGTCCTGGATACCAGCCTCCACATTGTGGCAGGTGAGAGAAACAGCCATTATTTCAGAAACTGTCAACCTAGAGTCCTATTATATGCAGTTGAACCTGAATTTGTGCTAATACTCATAGATACAGTTCGAGGTATGGATGTGGACTCAGACACAGAAGTAGATATAGACATGTAGATATAATCTGATGGGTGGATCAATGGCTATCAGGAGCCTGTCACTGAGGGGGAAGGATAAAAATGATACTGGGAGACAACTAATAATCTCTGTCACAATCTCAGAAAATAATGTAATATGAATTTTAATGTTCAGGGCCCAGTAGTAACATTAGTCTTTCAGTTGCAGATGTAGAAAATCAAATCAAGAAAGCTTAGGAAAAATGGGAATTTATTGCATCAAGTAGTCAAAGTCCAGAAATGATGGAGCTGCTCAGGAGGATAAGAGGAGCCCCTTGTCTATCCTGCCTCTGGCCCCCAGTTCCCTGTCTCCCAGCCACATCCTCTCCTGCAGTTGGGCTTTCTGGGTGCAACATCTGGAAACTGTGAACTCCCAATGCACCAAGGAAGAGCACCTTGTTGGAGACTTGAGTGCCTATGGGTGAGGGTCTGCTCTTTGGAGCAGAAAGGTACTGTCTCCATGGACTCCGGCTAGAAAAGTCCCAGGAATGCTTTGTGTTGGCTTGGACTGAATCACCAGGTACAACCCGCTGGGGTCAGTGATGCATACCCTGGCAATACCAGGACCAGTCACAGTGGCCCAGAGGCATTTGATCAATAAACGAATAACCTATTCCTGTGGTTATCACAAAAGAACAGGCTGGAGGGGAGCAGGTTAAGGGGCGTGCTGTGCCAAGACAATAGCCACTACATATACTGATATTATTGCTAAAGAGTGAACTGTGTCCCCTTCCCCAAGTTCATATGGTGAAGTCCTAACACCCTTATTTGGAGACAAGAACTTTAGAAGGTAATTCAAGTTAAATGAGGTCATAATGGTGAAGCCCTTTGGTCTTATAAGGAAAGAAAGAGAGGCCAGAGCTGTCTTTCTCTACCTTGTCCATGTGAGGACCCAGCAAGAATGTGGATGTGTGCAAGCCAGGAAGAGAGTCCTCACCAGAAAACCTCCATGCTGACATCTAGAACTTAGACTTCCAGAACAGTGAGAAAATGCCATAAGCCGTCCAGCCTATATTTTGCTTTAAAATGCAGCCTGAGCAGGCTAAGACAGATTTATTTCTGTTAGAGTTCTCCAGAGAAGTACAATTATTAATAAAATTATTTACATTTTTAAGGAACTTGGCGTCTAGCAGGCTCTGTTCTGAGTTAAAACAATCACTTTATAATCTCTGCATTTTAGACACGAGCAACGGGAGGTGCAGAAGATGAAGCAATACGCCTATAGTTGCAGAGCTAGTAAGTGGTGGAGTTGGGATTTGAAACTGGGCTGTCTAGCTCCAAGGTGCAAGGTAGGGATTTTTATTTATTTTTTTGTACATTTCTGAATTGATTTTTTTTTTTTGATGGTATATTACTTCTAGAATTTGGAGAAAAGAATTAAGCTATTTCCATTTTGGAAATTCAAAAAAAGTTCACAAAGCATCAGCATGCTGAGGACGGGGTTCAGCCAAAAAAAAAAAAAGTATTAAAAATCTATAGAGATGTGAGAAATAGTTCTTCCAGACACACTGATCAAGAGCGAATGTCATGTTCTTTCCTTCAGATCAAACAGCCAATTTCACGTGTATGAAATTAGAACCACTGTGGCAACATGAACTTGAGAGTTTTTCCCTAAGTCAAGGTGTGTCATGGCCAAGAGAAACTTGAAGCTCCCGAAGGCTGCATTAACAGAGGTGTGGTACCCAGAACAAGGGAGGGTAGCCTGACCGCTGTGGCCATACTTGCAGTATGTAGCCAGTTCCGGCCTTTCTTTGAATATTGGTAAAAAATACCGGAAGACGCAATCAAGAAGGTCAGGGAGTGTTGTGGAAAAGGCCTGAAAACCATGAGCGAGCAATGGTATTTAGCTTGACGTACAGAAGATTCAGAGTTGGGGGTGAGAGCTGACCTTTACGTGCAGACCAGTGAGTCAAAGTTGCCTAATTGGAGTAGATGATGTATTTCCTGACTCTGATGATATGCAAACAAGGCTGGGCCACCCATTGATGTGGGTGTCAGCGGATTGATTGAGGGTGTGGTTGGACCACAGGGCTGTATGGGCTCCTTTCATGCTGAGTGTCGGTGTGACTCTGATTTTTGGAAAGATGGGTTTAGGGCTTACTCTGGGAGGGGAGTATTAGGGACTGATGTTCACGTCCCACCAAAAATTTATATGCTGAAATATAAGCCCCCCAGGGTGGCTGTTTGTGGACACGTAGAAGGGAGTCGTTAAGAGCCAGAGTAGTGTCCTTGCAGGATGAGGCACCAGTGCTGGCCCTCTCTTTCCATGTGGACGGAGGAAAGGCGATAGGAGGACGCAGCAGGCAAGAGACCGTCCGTAGGTGAGGAGGCCGATTCTCACAGAGGACTCAGCCAGTTCTGTCTCCTTGGACTTCAAGCTTCAGAACTGTGAGAAATAAATGTCTTTTGTTGAAGCTTCCTTCTCTGTGGTATCTTGTTACAGCAACTCAAGCTGAGTAAGACAGAGAAAGACTGTAGCCAGCACCTCTGCCAGCTTCCTCTGATAAGTCCTGTATCTGAAGCCCTGGCCTCAGTATTGGGGCGCTAGCATCCGAGGTCCCAAGCAGTAATGAGTGCAGAGGAGGATCTGCTCTCCTCCTTCTTCTACTGTGGTCTCATTTGTCTTGATTAGTGGAACAGACTTTTCTTCAATCTTCTGAAGACCTTAGGCCTTCTCTGTGGTCTCCAGTCCAATGCAGCAGGGACACACAGGATGAAAAGTAAAGCACTTGGGCTAGTGGCATGTGGCATGTATAAGTGACTTATTTTTTTTCTATAGAATTGTTTTACTGATTGCCTTTTTTTAAAAGATTTATTTATTTTTATACAAGAACCGGGGTACAGGCGAGATGCATGGGAGGGTGAGAGGATTCACCAGAGACAGAGTGGAGACCAGAACAGGCAGACAAACCGAAAACACTGCTGAGGGGAGCAGCAGGCGAGACAGGAGAGGTCTGCCACGCCATGTGGGACCCTTGCTGGCCGGCCGGGATCGAACCGGTGCTGCAGAGGCTGCGGACAGCTTCACAGCGCGGCACTCAACCGCCTGCACCACCACGGAGGCCTTTTACTTACTGCATTTTTGTTCGGTGTTGATACTTATTATTGTATTTTGTATCCCTCAAACCTTTTTTATGAGCAACTTAGAGTTGTCATTATTAGTAGCAGTGTTTGCATGTTTTGGCTTTCCAGCTCCCAAGCTTACTACTCTTTTCCTGGTAATTGTAGTCAGATTTTTCCTGGGAATTCACCCTCCTCCATATGGGCTCAGTCTCTTTCCCCAGGGAAGCACATGTCCTGTCGTAATCCACTGTATTCGCCAGGCCATATGAGTGGGTTCTTTTGGAATATGAGACACAATCAAAACCAATAAAATGTCCTGGAACGTGTGAGGCGACAACTGAGCAAGGATTCCAGACTGGAAATGTAAAGGGCGAACTATCTGAAGCTACTATCGCTATCTCGAGACCACAGTCGGAGAGTCTGCCTCAGAGTGGAGCCAGCATATAGGAAGTGAAATAAGACATGAACTGAGTCATCAGGAATCAGAATCTCTAGATCCTTGTGTGCCTGAAGCCAGGGTTTTTAGTGCAATGAGACAGTTTCCTTTTGGTTTCAGCCAGAATGGTTCTGTTTCCTTTCACCTGAAATTGAAAGGATTTTGGCAGATCCTTTACTGTGTCCTTCGAAGGGCTACAATGAGGTACACTTGTGTGAAATACCACAGGAGCAGAAGCAGGCAACTACTGTTTGTGTTACTGAGTGGGGTGGAGGGGGTGTCGGGCGTCCAGGGGAGGCTTCACACAGGAAGGAGCCACTTGAACCGGAGTTGGAAGGAGGAAGATGCTAAAAGATAGAGATATCATTCTAAAACTTTCCAAATATCAAGACACTTGCTTCTAAATAACCAAAAGGGCAATGAGAAAAGTCACAATGGAAAAACTAGAAAACATTTGAACTGAATGATATAAACACTGCCTATCAAAACTTGTGGGTTGCAGCTAGAATAATACTTAGAGGAACATTGGTAGCCTTATAGTTCATAAAAGGGAAGAAAGGAAAGAACTACACTATCTTCTAAACATCCCTGTCAAGAAGTTAGAAAAAGAGCATTGAAATAAACACAGAAGAGAGTAAAAGAAGGGAAATAATAAAGAAAACAGACCGAAAAGGGAAGGAAACATGCCCTAGGGCGTCTAAGTGGGTTGTTTGTGAGCCAGCTGGGGCTTGACTGCACTGACAGTTCTGGGAAAGAGTGCCCTCGCGGGGCTGGGGGGATACCGGACAGAGGAGGCCAGAGACCAAGAGGGAAGTGGTGAGACCACAGACTGGAGAGGAAGGTGGTGCCCAAAACCCAAAGCCCTTCCTTGGAGAGGAACGGGGCAGGACCCTGCCCCACAGGACCAAGATCCCACTTCAGGGGTAATGGGTGCCAGGGAAGGCTCTCAGCAAGGTAATGGTCTGGGGACATGTCATTGGCCCTCAGACTCTGTCTGCAGATCAGGGGCTGCGGCCCAGGTGACAGGGCTGATTGAAAAGGTGAAAAAAAGTCACACAGATGCTAAATGCAGTTTTCCAGGAACCAGCTCTATCTGTCATGGAGAAACACCTTGGCATGCTCGCTCCCTTGAGTGGTGTCTGGGAAGGCCCTGGAAGTTCAGGGGAGCCAGTGGCTTACCCTTAGTGCCTCTGCCTTTTGGGCTGCAGAATTCTTTGCTGTGGGACAGGGGATAGCGTTTGCAGTATCCAGGCCTTCACCCGCTGGAGGCAACAGCACCTCTTCCCAGTAGCAATAGCCCAAAGTATGTTGAAGCGTAACCCCCAGGGGGTGCTGTATGTGGAGATGTTGAAGGGAGTCATTAAAATCCAGATTAGGGCCTTGTGAGAAGAGGCACAAGCGTTGGCCCTCTCTCTACGTGGACACAGGACACAGCAGGCAAGCAACCGTCTGTAGGCGAGGAAGCCAGTTCTCACTGAGAACTCAGCCAGTTCCGTGTCCTTGGGCTTCCAGCCTCCAGAACTGTGAGAAATAAATCTCTTTCTCATGGACCCCGTGTGTGAATCCTGGTGCACATCAGAGAGGGCACTTCTCTCTCTAGGGCTTGCATGGGGGGGTGGGGAGAGAAAGACATACATATACAGGGATGTGACTCAAAGGACAGCAGCTGTCATGGCGAAGCACTCGCTGTGTGCCAGACACGAGATCTCATTTCCCAAAACAGCATTAGGAGGCAGGTGTTTTCACAGATGAAGAAGCTGAGGCACCAAGTGTTTCAGTACCTTGTTCACGCCCACACAGACAGGAAGAAATGGAACTGGAGTTTGAATTGGGCAGGCTGGCTTCAGAGCCTGAGCTGCAAACTGCACACCCTCATCTTCCTCACAAGTGTCCACACAAGCTCCCGTTGTACCTATGAATAACCCACACACACGCACAGGAGACCACAGCCCTCATGCACCCATGTACCTGTGCAACTGAAGAGCATAAACACAGACCTCCATGGAGCATGAGATTCACCATGTATGATCACAGGAAATGACCCCACTAAGAGTTTGCTTGCTCACAAGTACTCTTGGTGCACATTCATATGTTGCATTCATATCCCTGCTCTCACATTTGCACAGAGAGCATGCAACACTCCCATCCACCCACATTCCCATGAGTGCAAGCACACACGCACATTACTATGCAAGCTCAGGCATGTATGAGCGTGCAAGTGTGCACTTACAGATGAACAGGTATTTACTTTATGCCAGGCACTGCCGGGGATTTAGTGGGGAAGAAAACAGTTTCTACCTTCCCAGTGCATGTAATGTAGCAGAGGCACACGCATGCACAGACAAGTGTGCGCAGTGGTCAGATCAGGCACGTCCTGGTCATCAAGTGCCCACTATGGTCAGAAGCAGGACTAAGCCCTCCTGTGTGTTAGGTGGCCCTGGGAGCACCATCCCCACTGTCATGACAAGCACCTATGTGCATATATGCACTTCCCTCTCTGCAGGAGCCATGAGGCATAAGTTGGGTGTTGGCAGGGTAGAGGGGCTTGGGACACAGAGATCAGTGTTATTTTCAGCAGCCCCTGTGGTCTGAGGATCCTGAGCCTCCATCAATACCCCTGGGACTAGACCATGATCCAGGTGCTAAATACCACGTGCATTTCTGGACACGTGTACACCTCTTTGTGTGCTCATGGGTGTGCACGTGTGGGAAAGACCCTCAGCACTCCCCCGGTCTCCCGCACATCAAGAGCCTCCATTCCTAAGTCCCCCACCTCTTCTCTTTCCCCATCTTCACCTGAGGGAGCCATGGCCCCAAGTCGTCTGGTCTCCCACAGGAGGCAGCACACACAGGGAGGAGGGGCTGCAATGACTCGGCTTCCAGGCAGCTGTGCTGAGTTTCTGCAAAGAGTCCCTTCCTCAAAGAGGCTCCTCTTTACTGAAAGTTCAGGCTGCTGTGGTTTCCCGCATTTACATAGGGGAAACGACAAACTCACAAAAATATTTACCAAGAGCTGTCCAGCAGTCAATCAACAAGCATTTGCTGATAGCGGGAACTTGCAAAGATGGGTAGGGTAGGGGGTGTGGAGAAAAGAGAGGAGGGATAAGCACAGGCTTGTCCTGAAAAAGGTCATGAAGACGCTGAGGTTAGGCATGGGGAGGGGGCAGCA